CTGCCTCCTACTCTTTTTTTCCCCCTCGGAACTGTATTTATCCTTCACAAAATTCATCTATAAAATCTATCAAATATGTGCGACAGACAGTTTCTACAGGCTTATCTTTGGCATCATTTTTATTAAACAGCCTCTTATTATCCTTGATGTACCCTTTCTTGGAAGCAGAGTGTTTAATTATCTCCAGCACACAGGAGACTTTATTTGTTGAAAAACAAAATAATTAAGCAAAGGAATCACTATAATATTAAAGATGCTTACAAACTTTTATTAAAATTATCACAATAAAATCTATAAACTTTATACCTATCAGGTCTGAACAATGCACTGGGAGGAGAAACCATTAAAAAACTAACTTCAAGTGAACTCAGTATTTCCTGGCAAATCACAAATACGAAAAGTAGATCACCCATGTATGCTAGAGGATCTCTTTGGGAGAAGTATCCTACAATTTATAACATTTTACCCGTGGTTCTTAATCCATTAAAACATTCTGAAACTTCAGAACCTTTAGAGATTGTCTTTCTCCTGTAATGTGATGGGATATCGTCCCTAACTTGCTAGAACTGAGAAACTAGCTAGCTTTACATAATTGAAATGAGTGAATTTGTTTGCCTAATACACTAATACTTACTTTTAATGAATTGTTTCTCTCACCCACACAAAGTGACTTGTTAGCTGTCTACACATGTGGCCTTTTAATCATCCACATACACAAATACCGAGATGCAAAAATTGTTCAGAGTCCAGATGATAATAAGGCTAAGGTTTTATTTCTATGCACAAGCATTTAGAACAAACTGCCTGCAAGGGACAGATTTACTGCCATGGGCCTTTTACTTTGACTCAGTCTTGCAGCTGCAAAATCCATCCCTAATTTTTGTCAACTACCCATTAGCCCTTTAGAGGTTCTTAGTAAGAAAATCAATGGCTCAACTCTTGCGAAAACTAAAAGCACATTATCTTCTCATGGTAATTTAGTCATTTAATACTAGGAAAGAAAGGAATAAGCACTAATAAGCAAACGGCCATTTAGATTCTGGGTTTTACATGTTGACTTAGATGTCTTCAGTGTCATGGTTACGAGTTTAAGAACTTTCTAATTTTAAAATTAAATTTCACCATTTGCTATCTGTGTGACCCGAGGCAAGTTACACACCTTTCTTTGCCTCCATTTCTCCATCTGTAAAATACAGGTGGAATAATGTAAATAATCATGGTGATGTTCTGAAGAGAAAAGCTATCTTAACATCTTAGCAGTGTCTGCCACATTCTAACTATGCAAATAAAAAAAGACAGCAAACTATCATTACATCCACAGCTTCAAGTTACCTCTTATAACTAATACTTTCTAAATTCCTAATGAATTTCTACTCACGTGAATTAAGTCTGGTGATTAGACACCGACTCCCTGAAGGTTTTAAATTATCTTCAGATTCTGGTTTTGTCTTGCCACTGGCTTTCTGTTCCCTTAAATTTGTTCCCCACCTCTGCCTCCATTCAGCACTTTCCCACAGATGATTTTAAGTAGATTTACTGGGGGTAAGGTAGAAGGTGGACTTGAAGGAATCTTTAAGGCATCAAAAAATAGTCTAGGTTGTCCTCTAATATGAACTGAGTAGTCTCGGCTCAATCTGTTACTGGAATTCAGCTTTCTTTAGTAGGAAGCCTTTTAAGGTTGTACATAAAATTATAATGATCCCATTCGTTACAATCAACCTAAAGTACCATTTAAAACTGACGGGTTTTCTTGACACAGACAACTTCTACATTTTCTGTACCTTAAGAATATATCATGCCTAGTTTTATCAATCATATTTTATCATGATACTAACAGAAGCAAGGGTCTGTGGTAGATTTATTTTGCTTTTGCCCATCCAGCCTTCCCTGCCCATTCTGGGAAAAGAATGTTTTCATAAGGGGAAGGATCCATTACAGATGGTTTGGGTGGCACACAGAGTTATTTAGCAGGTGAACCTAAATACTCCTGTATTGGATTTACTTATTCCCAGGCTTGTGCACTCCTACTAACAAAATAATCAAAAGCAGGGATTGCCAGTTTTTTAATAAAAACAAGATGCTCTCAAAGTTCACAGTGCTATCAATGTTGCATCCTCAAAATTAGCTAAATAGTAATTTACACTACTGCCTATTATGATTCCAAATCCTGAGAGCCAGACAAGGCCTCACTGTGAGCTTCACATCTTACCAATAGCTTGTAGTACTTGCTGAGGACTTGTAAACATTCCTTGGACTTAGCAGTCCCTCAAGAAAATCATTTCCTCCAAAATCTGTCTATATTCTCTATATTGTTTAAGCTCTCCCTCAATTCCCAAACCTAGGAATTATTATCCTAAATTTTCATCTAGTCCCTAATACCTTTCAAGATCCTAAATCTCTTTTCTTCCTACTGCTGCTGCCGTATTTGATGCCCTAATCCTAACTGGTCTGTCTCCACACCAACTGTAATTGCTCCCTTTTATCAAAGCTAAACTTGATGCTGTTTTATTGCATGTTTTATCTAACACAGGTAGGAATTACTATTTACAAGCTACATATCAGTATCAAAATGTCAATGAAAACTTTTGTGCTTTGTGCAGTAAGGATTCTGAAACTTCTTTGGAAGCTGTTATTAATAGTTTTCCATGCTATACGCCCATCTCATATAAAGCCTATTCACCTAACTGACAAAAACAGAATAGAATAGTGGTTAAGAGCATGAAACAGCACAAAGTCAGGCTGCATGAGTTTGAAATCTTTATACTCACTAGTTTGAACTCTCGGCAAGCTACTTAATATCATCAATCAGTTTCGTCATCTGTAATATAAGAATTAAAAAACTACCTCATAGGGTGGGAAGATTAAGTCAATAGTCATTACAGTTCTTAGAACACTGACTAACCAATGTACAGGTACTAGCCTTTAAGTGATGCATGGCTGACGTCTACAAGAGCCAATGAAAATACTAAATACTAGAGAATGGGGATACAATTGCTGGCTAAAACATAAAGAGGATACAGACATTAAGAAGTTAATCATAAAAAATAAAATCTGAATAAATATGAAACTGCAAAATGAAATAAGCAAAATGAAGAAAAGGATCAGAATGTTTAAAAATATTAATACACCCATCTAACCTCTTTATGGAAGGAGGGAAACGTGCCTCAAGTTCAGGAAGGTTTCCCTTTTCAAGACTCAATCACTAATCTTACTTTTATAGTAATGTCTTAAAAAAAATTTAAACATTTAAATAGCATCTCTGCCTAATCAAAAAGGAACGGAAAATTGAATTATTTTGACACACACTCTTTAAGCAACATAAAATATGTTTAAGGCTGGAAGTTTTATTCCATTTCAGTGGACATTAAAGGTGGCCCACTAAATGGAAAAACTAAGTCAAGTCACTAATGAGTTTTTAATGAAAACACAGTCTTCAAAAACACTGTTTTAAAAGATATTCTTCGCAATGAAGAATTCTGTTAAAAAGTTAAAATCAAACAATAACTATGCAGAAGAAAACCTCTGCAAGCCTGGTATTTTCGAGAGAGTGCCACAGGTGTAAAGCCGTAGGCATATACAAAACTAAAGAAGGCAAACCATCCAACACCAGATCAAGTTGTAAGATACCTGGGCAGTAGGGAAGCAGTCAGGGAAAACAAACAACCCTATCTACCAATCAAAATAAGCAGAAAAACCTATTAACAAAATCTGAAGACAAGCTGGATTTAATAGCTTGCATTTCAGAACTGAGGCCACAGAATGATACTGGCAAAAACAAAGTAAATACCAAATATGAATGCCAGGTCAAATAAATTTGCAAAACAACAAAATAACCTATTAATATTCCAATAGATAATTTAAAAAGTACCTGAGTGCTAAAATAAAAACAATTTACAGAGTACAGACCCAAATATCCTAAAAGGGATACCAGCCCTCATAAATGAGCTTTTAAGAGTTTACTTACTATATATGCATGACATAAATTTTCAGGCTGGGGAATAACTGATTAAAATTTTTTTTTTAAAAAATCAAGAGTTTGGAGAAGGGATATAACTCAAAGTCCCTTTAAAATGTTCACAAAACTCTTTTTTTTTTTTTTTTTGAGACGGAGTTTCACTCATGTTACCCAGGCTGGAGTGCAATGGCGCGATCTCGGCTCACCGCAGCCTCCGCCTCCTGGGTTCAGGCAATTCTCCTGCCTCAGCCTCCTGAGTAGCTGGGATTACAGGCACGCACCACCATGCCCAGCTAATTTTTTGTATTTTTAGTAGAGACGGGGTTTCACCATGTTGACCAGGATGGTCTCAATCTCTTGACCTTGTGATCCACCCGCCTCGGCCTCCCAAAGTGCTGGGATTACAGGCTTGAGCCACCGCGCCCGGCCTACAAAACTCTTTAAAGTTTCTCTTCACTTCAATGGCTGAGTAATTTTCTGAAAAAAATTCCCTTGTATAAAATATAAATTATAATAAAGTAAAATAATTACAGTCCTTAGCCAGTATACAGTTACATCAAGAAGTTATATCTTCAACCTATTAAGATTTGTGGATTCCTAATCATAATTGTTTATAAATTACTGGGTTAAATTATTACCAAAAAAGTAGGACAGGTCTTAAGACCTTGAAGAGTTTCACTAAAAACACAGTAAAAATTAAATGTTCTACTTTAGTTAGTTGTATTGTACCAAGGTTAACTTAAGTTTTGTAGAAGTTGTATGATATTGTAAGATTTTAACATTAATATAAGATATAAAAAACTCTTGTATTATATTTTTACAGCTTTTCTGTAAACCTAAAACTAGGTCAAAGTAAGAGGTTATAAAAAGGCTCAACTTCTCAGGACCTTACTTTATACTAGTAAACGTGCTATGAAAGAAAAATAGCATTTTAGGTTTCCCATGTTTAGTTACCAAGTATACATATAATACACCTAGCCTTGACTGCTTTACTATAGTAATTATTTTTAATGCTAAAGAAGAAAGCAAATATCTAGAAAACGAATCAGTAAAGCATTTTTTATTAACTTTTTTGACAAACCAACAGTATAACATATGCTACCTAACAATAACTGTGTCCCTTCCCTTTACGTATGAGTCTTAAGATAAATGTCATTCAGATTTTTATCTGGACAACAAATTCGAAGGCGCCCTAAGAAATAAGAAATGAAATACCATGGTCACTAATGTAACCAGACTAAATATAAAAGCTATATATATAATGTGTGTGTGTGTATAGATGTGTGTATATATATATACACATTAAAAAAATCAATGTTTTGAACAATGCAACAAATCTGAGGTTACACTAACTCACTACTTTAAATAGTATTTCAATCACATATAACAAATTAAGATACTGTTTACGGGAACACAGCCTCAGAAATAAGTATTTAAAAAAGGCAATATTGATCCTTAACTTTAATCAAACTAAGTATCAACCTTTCCCCTAACCCATAAAGACTTCATGTCTCTAAACAGTTGCTGCATCATGAAAGATAACTTGAAAAATTTAAATACATCTCAGGGCAGAGTGAGTCCAACTTTTACTGCCCAGAGTTTCTTGTCATGGTGGCGTAACGTCATCAAAGTCTGGTTGCCAGATCTTTTAGTTTTTATTTGTAACAAAGCTATACCTTTCAGCAATTATATTAACTATATCTAAGTTATTTTCTAATGGTAGCAGAATGATATATATGCTTTATTAACGAAAACAGTGCTTTTTAAATTTTTCTAAGAATTCCATAAATACAAAAAAAAAAAAAAAAAAAAAAAAAAAAAAAAAAAAAAAAAAAAAAAAAAAAAAAAAAAAAAAAAAAAACAACAACACAGAAAAGACTTGAGGGGTTTGGGAAATAAACCCCTTTTATTTTCATTTTAAATCTATATAAGTTTAATTTATTCCCAAACTTTCTAAGTTCTTCCAGACTTTTGGCCTTCGTAGTATTTCCTAATTTTTCTTCTTGAGCTCTGTGCTGCCTCAAAACCTATCCAAACAAATCTAGTTCTGTGTTATCTATATTTAATATAAATAAAGTACAATATATAATCAACATTGTATCACTGGAATTATGAAGCTCTTCATGAATTACTTTTTAAAAAAACTCCAAAAGAATTGAGCTATTTTATTTAACATGTAATAGACAGTCATAAAGCAAGTCCATATATTTAGTTTTCTGATATCCTAACGCATTTTCACAAACTTTTTAAGTCTACAATTTTATATAGTTTTCCATCAGGGAGACAAATATATATAATTTCTTTTTATATTTAACTAAAGGTTTTAAGAGGGTTTACTCTATAAATCAGTAACAATTTAGTCATAACACCATACAAACACATTTAAATATTCAGGAAAGAGGTTTTTAAGATTATTGCTTAGTGTTATAAAATGGTGAATTTTAACCAGATTGATACCTCTGTATTCTTATTTATGTTTCCTATCCTCTTACATCATACTGCTTGGTAAGTAATGTAAGTTTTGACGTAATTTAAAAATTCAAGTAGTTGTAAACAAATTCTAATTTGTTAAACTATTCATATATTCCCCTTTACTTACTACACTATCCCAGATTTAATCCTCCTTAAAAAAGTCATCATCCCACATAGAAAAAAACTGCAGAGCATCATCTCCTCCTTAAATATTTTCAAGTACTGTAAAAACACAAATCCATGAAAAAAATGATTAAAATTTGACATTTCATCTTGCTTTACTAATTACGGAATAGAAAGACGTAAAAAACATGTTCCGTAATATTTCTCTGCTTAACAAAGAAATACAAAGAAATACTGTAATTATGGTTATGGGCTATTTTCCAGCCTCTTCAAGTACAGGACACAACTGTGGTTCCTACCATCAAGGAGAAATGAATAATCAATCTTAAATTATACAAAAGAAAGATGAGAGGCACAAAAAGACTAACTTTGGCTTTTAAGAACCTAATGTTAACCCTGAAATGCCAGATTCAGTAACACACCAACAAAAGATTACAGCAGCAAGCCACCACTTCACACAGTATTAAGAATTCTGAAATATGTAATAGTCTTCCTCCTATCTCCCACTCAATCTGTTGTGTCGTCTTTTTGTTTTTCCTGCTTTTTCGCTGCAGGAAGTTCAAGGCTTGCCCACTGCATCGGTTCAGCTTTTCTCATAGTGATCTCAATCTTTGTTGCAGTCATAGTTACATAACTTCGCTTTACATCAATCACCTGTAACATATCAAAGAGAATTACAAGAAACTTGGGTGGTTTTATTAACCTCAGAGGAAAGCATCAGACTTGCTTATGCCAATAATCCCAAATCCAAGCTTCTAAAGGCCTCTTTTATATATAGACTTAAACTTTTTGGGAGGATACACTGTTAAGTTATGTATCTATTGTGCGACCCCGGCTGTGGGACCCCGACTCACGGAGGCAGGCACTCAATAGACTCGAGGCAGGACGCGTGGTGACCGGTACCAACTTTATTGGGACCTCCGGGTGACTAAAGCAGGAGGGGAAGAATCGCGCGCGCTTTCTTTGTTCGGTCGGTTTTATAGGGGCAGAGAGTCTGAGGCGGTGGGAGAGCAGTGGCGAGGGGTGATGATTGGTTAGGGGGTTGCTAGGCAGAAGGGGCTGGAGTTTCTTCAGTCGGGGGCATGGTGCCGAGTCACGTAGGGAAGTTAAGCTCCTTCCATGTGGCTGGGAAGGGGGCGGGGGGGGGAATGAGGCCAGAGAGCCCTCTACCAGACATCTATACTTTGCATCAATGTTTACTAAAGAACTGTCTTTTATTCTACAAATGATATCTTAAGTTGTTGGAAAGAAATTCTTATAATAAATTGGTAATACTTACACCCCATAATTTCACATTTTGATCAAATTCCTTCTCTCCTTCAAATACAATGTGCACATTTAACTGAAAAAGATATATACAAGTTTATGGTACCAAACACTGATCATAAAAATAAGATGGACAAAATTAAATGAAGCTGTTTTAAGAAAGGGTCAATACTATATTGTTTCATATGAGAAAGGCCATTGACAAAAAAGAATAATTGGCTTTAAGCTTCATACTGGGAACTAAGAACCATGTTACTTGATAAATCTACTACTACAGAATCTCCAGAATGTTTCGGTAACTCTATTACGCAGAAATTTTCACTTAAAATAGTTTCATAGAAGTAATTTAAATTATTTTCATGTGGGAGTCATTATAAAATCTTACACCTAAATCAGCTGAGATATGAACAATACCTTAAAATACAGTAACAAATAATGATGTTGAGAAAAGAATTTTTACTCAAAATTATTAGGTGTACATACCAATGTGCTATTTGCTTCTACTCGACTAAGTTCTGGAAGTGAATTTTTAGCGTATACTGAAATGGTAACTTCACCTCCCGTCTGATGCCAATCATGTCTACACGGAACAACTTTTTTCCCCTGTAATATAAGAGAAACTCTGTAAGTTTAAAAAGTGCTGCATAGGGGCTGGGCACAGTGGCTCATGCCTGTAATCCCAGCACTTTGGGAGGCTGAGGTGGGCGGATCACGAGGTCAGGAGATTGACACCATCCTGGCTAACACGGCGAAACCCCGTCTCTACTAAAAATACAAAAAAATTAGCTGGGCATAGTGGCACACGCCTGTAGTCCCAGCTACTTGGGAGGCTGAGACAGGAGAATTGCTTGAACGCAGGAGGCGGAGATGGCAGTGAGCCTAGATCACAGTGAGCCGAGTTCGCACCACTGCCCTACAGCCTGGGCGACAGTACAAGACTCTGTCTAAAAAAAAAAAGTGCCACATAATTAATTTCTTAAAAAGAGGAATTCAAGCCATCTAACTTAGAAAAAATTACCATGCACAACAAAGCACCTAATGTTTAAGGGCAAAAAACTTCTAAATTTTCCAAGTGGCTTAAACAAAATATATCATGATACAAAGATTCTTCAAAAATTTTATGATTTGAGAACACACTTATTCCTACCCTTTGTTTTTTTTCTTTTAGGGCCACAGTATTAATACACATTTAAAAAGACAATTTAAGAACTTTGACTAAATTTAATCCAATTTTAACATTCTGTAAGTACTGTCATCAAAACATTTTTTAAAGACTGAAATGGAAGACATTTGCTTAGTGGGATAAATTAGACAACACCTTAAACTCATGCACTAGAAAACTTATTTATTTTCTACAAATCAGAATCTAGGAACAAAACAAAAAACCTGACCAGTTATTACTTTCTTCCCATTTTAATAAAGAACAAATAACTTCTGGATTTTCTGATTATGGAAATAATCCCACATACCAGTAGTATACTGCCCTATCAGTAATTTTATTTTTTTATTAGAGGCAAATGGTGATTTGTTATATAAATGGGAACAATTTAGTTACATAATTCAGGAATTCTGAGACACTACTGTTGTAAAAGGCACTATTTTCGTTTTGATACAATGACATTAAATTTAAATTACATATATCACTCACATTTCTGCCCTTAGCTATTAGTTTAGATACTTAATACCTGAAAACTGCATGCATTAAAAAAAGAGAAAAAATACATCATTTTATCTAGGATTATACTCTCAAAACTTAACAAAATAGAAAACATTTTATTTTTTCAATAAAATTTTCAAATTTCTGGACTATACAAAATAAAGACAGACTCTCTCACTTTATTTAAAAATATTTCTGATAGTTTTGCGGTAGATGAATTTTTATAACTTCAGGGGTATTTTTATAGTATCCAACCATGTGTTGTTAAGAAGCAGCAACTATAAAATATTCAAATACTGAAATCTCTAAATTAATTTGAAAATTTAATACATTATAAACTACATTAACAGTAACTAACAGATAAAAACTTATTAAGCAATAAGTTGCCCATCCTCTTACAATTTAATGGGGTTTTGGGAAATTGTTTGCATAGCCCCAAGTCTTTTCAAAAAGCTTTCCAGGGAAGTAGAACTGATGCTTTTTATCTTCCTTTTGATAAATATCCCATTAGCAAGCAGAGGCATTCAAAAGAATTCCACTGAAACAAGACTGCTTATCCTCCTCTCTGTTCACTAGGTGAATTGTCTGTGCATCTGTAAATGACTGGATGAAGTTTTAAGTGGCCAAAATAATCATCAGAGGTCTAAATGTTTAACATCATCAAATTCATGGAGTAGTAATTTTTAAAAACAAAAAGTAAGAACATGCCATGGAGCTAATTTTATTAAATAAAAAAGACAAAAAAATGCTTCAATTTTGTCAGGTGTATTTCATAAAACCCCACATGCTTGCATCAAAATAGACAATGGCTGTTTTGCTCAAAAGGCAGTGGCTTGACTCAGATTAATTTTATTTTGTAGTCATATCAAAACTTTATGGTGCAAAAAAAGAAAACTTTTTTTTAATCTAAAGACAGAATAGTTTCAAATCTTTAAAAAATGACTCAGATGAATATAAGCCCAGCGTGTTACTTTTGGAAGAGTTACTTACGGCATCCTTTTTAGTCCACATGTGTTTCCCTGTTGTACAGCCCTCTTGGGCTAAGAATGTATTAAAATCAGAAGTTTTTCTTCTACAACAGCTCCAGTATTTCATCCTTTAAATTATTACAGAAAAATTTCAGAAATAAAATCTCACAACCCATTAAATCTAGAAGTATTTTAGGAATAAATCTGACTTTTTAAGAAGTCAGTAAGTGTGCAACTCAAGTATCTAAGTTACTAAGTTACTAAATATAGATGTAAAGTATCTATCAGGAAGAGTATATTTTAAAACCAGGATGCTATTTATTATAGTAATCTTGAAGCTCCTGAGTAGACACTTAACAAACTATAGAAATGATCCCTGCAAGTATAGTCTTCCTGAATGAAGTCACTTAAAACCATCACATATTCCAAATCAGCTTTTCAGTGATGGCTCACACTCGTTTCCTCATGAAGCTACCAAAAACTTTTATGACCAAAGAGTTATAACCTATTTCAATAAGTCATTATAAACAAATTAAAATTTAATGATTATACAACATATCCCAAAGTAGGTTATACCCACTATTATTTACTTGAGATAAACTGAAAAGAGGAAGACAAAAATCAAGGCAAAACTTCAGGTTTCGAATCCTGAAGACTGTGGAAACAGAGTGGAAGATTCTTACAGTGGTGCATTTCCATAAACTAGAACATAATACAGAAGAGAGGTTCCTCTCAATTGAGGAATGTGGAAAAGTATGGGTCTTCTTGGGAAAATGGTATCTTAGTGCCCCACGACCCAAAATTCTAAATGCCCTGCAATGTGTAGGACAGTCCTTCAAACAAAAAATTTAGCCCAAATAGATTGTATCACTTTTAAATATAGGGTATAAAGAAAAACAGGGGGTTTATATTACAGTGACCACTTAAGAACTGTTAACCTTGTTTCTGTTTTCTCATGTAGAAACATACAAACCCCTGTGATTTGTAGGTTACTGTGAAGATGTTGATGACAAAAGTAAAATGCCTAATAACAAACTGCATTGCAAACAATGTTTACAGACAGACCTGTTTAACTTTGTAAATTCTACCACAGAGTATTTTAGTAAGTCATGCATAAGTTACCCCTCATGGAAAATAGGTACTCCAGAATGATACACACAGACTTCTTCTAGACTCTCTAGACCCCGATACGTCTAAAAGAGAAACAGAGAAAAAAAATTAGCTGCATATCTCACAGTTACATCTCATACATATTTGCAGTACTGATGACCTCTACGAACTTTGCAAAATACTTAAATGACAATTACCTACAAAATTCATAAATCCATCCCACGCCATTCTGTTAAAAAATGAAAAATGATTCCCTTTTGGACTTGGTTAAGTTTTAGGTCCCTGCGAGAAAGTCATATTAAGATACTTTCAGCCTTTGGAGTATGAGATCCCATCCAATCATATTCAAGTACTTAAATTTAGAAAACAATGTTGAAGCCAACAGATTAATACTCTCAACAGAAATACAGTTACGGCATGACTTAAGTGTACAGTAAACTCCATGTAGGTATTAGCAAGTAATATGAGAAATCTAATAAGCAATTCTGGAAGCCCTGAGTGATGGTGATTTCTTATCCCTATAAAGGGTAAAATGAGCTGCAGACCTATATATATATCCAGGGTTTGTCTGGAAGATCCGGGCCCCATTGCTGCTGTAGATGGAGGCTCTACAGATGAATTCACAAAAAATTATGTTAATAAAACATGGATGTAGCCAGTAGTATATTTTCTATTTTTGTATTTATAGCAACTACCTATGAACAGAAAATAAAATTCTGTGTTTATCTTTTATAAATCCAAAGTACAGTACTAGATGTGTATATCTCAAGATATTTCATAAAAACATAAAACTCAGTATGTTAGCATCTAAACTTAATGCTACTGCCCCCAAAATCTATTCTTTTCCCCATATTGTTTGATGGCACCATACTCAGTTTCTCAAAGCAAAATCCTGTAGTTCTTCAGCGTCTCCTCTCCCTCTACCCATAGGTAATCTATAATGAAATCTCATCAATTTGATTTGAATATATCAATTTAATTTGTTAATCTTCCTCATAAGCTAGCAGATTTTAAGCAATCAAACTATACTAACAGGTTTCTACTAATTCATTTCTCAGCCTTCAATTTCTGTTCTCTATTAATTATCAAATTACTATCACCCTCTTGTTGAAAGTTCTTTAATTACATCCACGTCACACCTAATTATAAAATAAGCAGTTCCAGGTCATTCACATATTTAAGTATGCCTATACATGAGAAAACACTCACAGCCCTGAAGTAAGCAACAATTTCTTAAATAGGACATAGAAAGCACTAGTCATAAAAAAAATGATGGACAAATTGGATTTCATTAAAATTAAAAAGCCTGTGTTTATTAAAGTGATTAAGAGTGAAAAAGCACAGAACTTCTGACAAAAGACTCCAAGCTAAAACATTTAAAGAATTCCTACAAATTGGTAAGAAAGAGACATTAGAGAGATAGGTAAAAGATTCTGCACACTTCACAAAAAGATATAAAAATGGCTAATAAACATACATGAAAGCACTCATCATTAGGGAAGTACCAATCAAAACCATGATTAAAACACTACACACTCACTAGAATGGTTAAAATTAAAAAAAGAGAACTGGCATAACAAAATTTTAACAAACTATAGGACAAGTTGAACCAGCCTCACATACTGCTGGCAGAAATGTAAAGAAATACAATCACTTTGGAAAACTATGTGGAAGTATCTGTTAATGCTAAAGATAGACATGTGGGCATACCTAATCCAAAATTCCAAAATGCTCCAAAATCTTTAACTGTTTGACAGCCAACATGATGGTTAAAGGAAATGCTCATTGGAGCATTTCAGATTAGGGAAGTTGAACTAACTGGTAAGTACAATGCACATATGCCAAAATTTAAAAAAATCTCCAAAATACTAGAAATGGAAATGTGCACATGTGTCACAAGTCATTGACAAGAATGTTCATAACAGACCGGGTGCAGTGGCTCACACATGTAATCCCAGCACTTTGGGAGGCCAAGGTGGGTGGATCACCTGAGGTCAGGAGTTTGAGACCAGCCTGGCCAACATGGTGAAACCCTATCGCTAGTAAAAATACAAAAATTAGCCAGGCATGGTGGCGGGCACCTGTAAGCCCAGCTACTCAGGAGGCTGAGGCAGGAGAATCACTTGAACCTGGGAGGCAGAGGAGGTTGCAGTGAGCCGAGATCATGCCATTACACTCCAGCCTGGGCGACAAGAGCGAAATTCCATTTCAAAAAGAATGTTCATAATAGCATTATTCAAAACGATTTTTTAAAATTACAGGACAATATAAAGCAAAAATTATTTGTGGCACATATAATGACATACCTAAAAGGAATAAAAAAACAAAACTACAGCTACATGCAACAAAGATTAATAAAACAAGCATTATTATTCAAAAGATGAACATGAGTACATATTCTATGATTATTTTTACATTAAATTCAGAAACAGAAAAAACAAACCTATGTTGACAGGAAAACATTTGAGGGAGATAGTAAAAAAATGCATAAGGAGTGGTCTGCACTGATAATGAGTTTCACTATGTGAAAATCCCTTGAGCTACAAACTTGTATTTGTATATCCTTTAACAAACTTCAATGTTATATTTTAATAAAAATATTCAAAATTTCTCCAATTACAATGGCCTCCACAATCTAACATAAAATCTAAGTTCCCTGTACTACTAAACCCTTTTAGGATCTGGCCAGGCCTATTTATCTCTGTTAATCTCAACTCCACAGCAACAAATTTTTATCATCACATAATTTTCTCTATACTTCTGCTATTATTTATGCTTGAAATATCCTTTTTCTGTTTTCCCTGTCATTTACTTTTCAAAACTCATCTGATACCTTCTCCTTGATCTTCCTTTATTATCCTACCATTTGTACTGCCTTCCCCACTCCAGTAATTACTCATTCCTTTTATCTACTACTTCTACCTCATATACATGTAAATATAATTATATCTCCATTCCTTAAATGATTTAAAACTTAACATGAGGAAAAAGCGCAAACCTGCCCCCAGCCCATTTTCATCTTGTTGGCTGATGAGGTCACCAATTACCCAGATACTTGAGTTCCCCTCTATCCAGTCCATTAGTAAATCCTGCTAATACAGACAGAAGCTCCTTTGCTTGCAATGTGGTTATATCCTGATGTTACCATTGTTAACCATGGTAAGTTGGGAACCATCTGTACTGTACTTCCAAAATGTATCATTCATTCTACAAGCACTATTCTAAGCATTCAAGATACAACAAAGAACAATAACAAAAATCAGTATCCTCACAACTTTTATATCAGCAGGGGGAATTAGATTGTATAGATCATAAGCAAAATAAATATGCCAAATAAGTAATATAAAGTGATTAACAGCAACAGAGAAAAAAGGAGAGGGAGAAGAAACATTGGAGGATATGCAAATTTTACATCAAGTAGGAAGAGGCAGGGAAAGGCCTTGTTGATATGTTTGACTGCATCCCATATTTAATCACTTCTCAACAAACTACTCTCCAATCCCACTGCCTGGTCTTCCATAACAGCATCCTAGCTGTTTTCTCTTCTTCCAATTCCACTCCTGTTCCGTCACCACATATTTACCATTCACCAGCCACAGAATCTTTTTAAAACCCTTCCCTAAAGCAAGTAATAGCTTCTCATAATACCTAGAATAAAGCCAAAATACCTCATCATGGCTTCTAAGAACCTCCATAATCTTGTCTACCTCTCCTACCTGCTATCCTTGCCCAAGCTCTACAGACCTTGTTATTTCTTGAACAGCCAAGTTCTAAAGCCTCTGCTCAAGCTTCTCCTTCCAAAACACTCTTCCCCCAGGTTTACATAGTCCATCCAGTACAACATGAAGATTTCTGATTGTTACTATGTCAAAAAGGACTTTGCCAATCATCTTACTAAATAGTCCCCAAGCACTCCTCAGTATGTTCTATTTTCTTCCAATCATCTTGATTTGTAATATCTAATTACTTATTTGTTGCTCTTCTCACCATTCTAGAATATCAGCTCTGTAAGAAATTTTTGCTTTATTTGATACTATGTCTCCAGCCCATAAAATGTCTGGCACATAATAAGTAGTTAGTAAATGTTAATAAGTAAACTGGAATTACTTATTTCCATTATTCTATTGGACATGATGCTACTCAGACAGAGTGTCTTATCCAGACTGTCGCCCTAGTCCCCAGCATAATGTCCAATATATAATGCGCATGTAAGTATTTGTTGAATTGAGTCAATGAACTGCACTTTCCTCAAAATTAAAATTTTACTTCACAGCACATCACAAATTTTTTAATATATACCTTTGAACACCCTCCATTCTTACATGAGGTCCCAATCTTAATTTCATCATTGTCTTCTTCTGAAACAAAGAAAGAAAATCAAATTAAAATGTTAAAACAGAACTTTGCTGCAGCATCATTCTTAAAAAGTAGGTTTTTCCAGAAAACAATACTTTAAAAAAAAACAACTGTGACCAGGTTTTGCCTATATCTTCAAAATGATATATGACACATTTCTTTTTTTTTTTTTTTTAAGGATCTGATGTCTTTGACAATGCAGTTTTTTTCCATAACAAAATGTTATATCCAATATCTTAACTTTGTAAAAAAAATTACCATAGGTTCTCATTTTGAATAAAGACATATGGAATTAATCTATTAGTTCTGGAGTGTTTGTAGCATATTGTATCTGGCATTTAGAAGAAAATTAGTTTTTTAACTACAATGTGCTACTTTTCCTTATTTATATTCAGTAAACTGCTGCTCTCACTTTTAAATAACTGCTTAACTGTACCAGAAAATAAATTACAATAAAACAAAATAAAATCTTACCTTTCTTATCTTCTTCATTCCCTGATGACAGTTTAAGTTTATCAAGTGCTTGTTTTAGGGAGGCAGATATTTTTAATTCCAAATTTGTCATTGGTTCATCTGGGCTGAAGAATTTTGAAACCTTATTACCATTATTAATATACCAAAATATTTATTTGTACTCCAAATTAATAACTTTAAAAGCTTTTTGAGAAACCAAATGCTTTGTGAATCAAATGATTCCCATTAAAAGTTTAAAGTATTTTACAAATAACTGTTACAATGTATCCACATTCTGTCTGAACAGAAAAGCTCTTTATATTAGAAGAGTAAGTCTCAATCACACTGTTGCCAGCATATTTATTACTCAGTTGCACTAACAAGAAGGGAATAAAGACTAAGAATCCAAGTTTTTCAAGATGAGTAATGCTGAGGAAAGGTACATAAAGCAGTTTTACATCCCATGCCCAAGCTAAATGCTGAGCATATAATAAACAGGAAATATAAGTAAGTTCTAAGTAAATCCGTACTCACTTCTACCAGTGGAAATAATTCATGTGGACAATGGCATATGCATCTATAAATCAGCTATAATCGTATTGCAAGGCAATTTCAGTAGGGTTAAAAAAATATCTTCTAATATTTCATAATGGGTAAGTATTGTATACACAATTTAAGTCCATTCAATAAATATTAAGCATACGAATAAACAAAGCAATAAAAATAAAAATTGTAGGCTATTCATCCTATATCCACAATGAAAAAACTGACGAGGCATTTTTTAAAAAGTACACAGGCAAGGCATGGTCCCTTATGCCCACAATCCCAATATTTTGGGAGGCTGAGGTCGGAGGACTCCTTGAAGCCTGGGCAACATAGTAGAACCCTATCTGCACAAAACATAAAAAGTCACTGATATGGTTTCCCTGTGTTCCACCCCAATTCTCATCCTAAATTCTTGCTCCCATAATCACCACATGTTGTGGGGAGGGACCTGGTGGGAGGTAACTGAATCGTGGGGGTAGCTTTTTCCCATACTTTCTCACGATGGTCCATAAGTGTCAGAAAATCTGATGGTTTTTTCTGGCCTGCCACCCTGTAAGATACTCCTTTGTTCCTCCTTTGCCATCTGCCATGATTCTGAGGCCTCCCCAGCCATATGGAACTAAGAATCCATTAAACCTCTTTGTCTTTATCAATTACTCAGTCTCAGGTGTTTCTTCAAAGCAGTGTGAAAATGGACTAACACAGTCATAGTGGCATACACCAACAGTCCGGGAGGCTTAGGCGGAAGGATGTTTGAGCCCGAGTTCAAGACTGCAGTGAGCTACAGCCACTTTATTAAAGCTTGGGTAAGAAAGAGACTTTGTCTCTTAAAAAAAGAAAAAGTATGTAAAAACCTGTATCCTCATAATTTTATAATACCACAGAATGAATTTAGGATAAAATATTTAATTTTTCTATTAAGAGTGAATCTCAAGATCCTTCTGCCTCAGCCAGAGTAGCTGCAACTACATAAGCACACCACCAAACCCAGCTAATTTTTCTTTCTTTTTTTTTTTTTTTTTTTTTTTTTNAAGGATCTCGTTCAGGTTGTTCTTAAACTCCTGGGCTCAAGGGATCCTCCCTCCTCAGCTTCCCAAAGTGCTGGATTATGGGCTTGAGCCATAGTGCCTGGCCTCTCAATGCCCTTTAAGTAAAATAATAGCCCATTAAAGAAAAAATTAACTCATAGTATTATAGTACAGACTCTATTATATTACTAAATAGATTAAGAATGAGTCATGACAGTTTTGTCTTTTCCCAATTATTTTTTTGCTAAATTGGCCAACATGGCATTCACTAGTCTCTTCTGATTATGAATAAGATGGAGACAGAATAAACTCATCCTGAGTAGTTTACTTAGCAATAATCCTCAGACTGCTAATGAACAAATTAATGTCTAAAGTCTCTTAGGGTTCTTGTCTTGGTTCTCTATTATTCAATACTCTACAAATTTAAATAGGATCAATAGACAGTAAGGGGAATAGCACGAGTTCATACCAAGAATAAAAATTTCAATAGGTGCCTATTTGCAGCCCAAAAAAAATCACCTGTTTTTTTAAGTTCTGTAGTTTGATTCTAAAGCAACTGTAGCACAAGTGCAGCATGAAGAAGACCTTGTTCAACACAGGTACTCAATATACATGTGTGGGAATACAGAGTCTGGTTATCAGAAGGCAAGTATGAAGAATCTGTACAATTCAATTGTACAATGAGCAAAAGTTGTTTTAAGACGACTTTCACAAATATGCCATCCAAATCAAATGCACTAAAAATTCGCCAGTGGTAATGAGATGAACAGCAATTTTCAGGCATCTGAAAGTAAAGATGCGTGATTAGGCCTCTGCATTCTTTTCCACTTCAAACTCACTCCATGACAAGGAAAATTGCTTCAAAGAATTTCACCACGCCACAGTGAAAAAGATGTACTCCATGGCACAAGAAAAATGTGTGACTCCCCCACCCTGATGATACATGTCTCTAATTATGACAGTACAGTATGCGAATCTACTATGAAGTTGTATTGCGCACATGCTCTCAAGTTGAAGAGAAACAAAAATTTAAGGCAGATTTAAGGGAGAAACCAAATGATTCAATGCTTGATGGCCTACATAGTAGCTACAAATGGTATCATGCTAAATCACAAAGTACCATGAACAAATACTATTATTCAAGTGTGACAAAAATAGGTAACTGTATAAAGTATACCTTGGCCTTTTTATAGCTTCTACTGGTTTAGGGGCTTGAATGATGTGTTCCCGAAATTTCGGTTTCAATTCAGATAGTTCCTTCTTCTCAGTAGTCTTGACTTCAGGTTTGACTGGCTCAGGTGGCTTCTCACTATTATGTCTACCTTTTGTACAGCCCTGTTAGTGAAAGATATTAAGAGCTATCTATTTTACACATCATGACAGAAACATTATCTCTTCAGTTATTTATTGATAAATTTTACTTCACGTTTTCTCCAGTTTCATTATACTGATTTTAAGAAATTAAAAACAGAATACCAAATGTGCTATATGAATGAAGGCTTTTTAAAAAGCCTTTGAATTACACTTCATAAACACCTACTTATTCTATTAAACATATAGCATAAACTTCTTGTTTTACACTCGAATAATTCTGGAGAACCTCACAAAGAACCGTAAAAACTACTTATACAGAAATATCTGTTACTCAAAAAGTCCTCAATGTGAGACTCAGTTCTCAACCTAGTTATTAGTTATATGAACTTAAGCAAGATAATCTTTTTAAACCTCCATTTTCTCATTTGTAAAATGGAGGCAATGTCACATAAGATATTTTCTGAGGGGGTTAAATAATAAAATGCCTAGCACATTTGGCAGGTGATAACCTTCAACAAATGTTAGCTACTTTTCTACTATGTTCTATTGAATTATATATACTTTTAACACCTCTGAAATGATACAATAGCTTATCAGCTTGTTAGCAGCTTTTTTCTTTCTTAGTGGTATACAAAATGATGTATTTCAATAGCATCTTATATTAGGTAAAACTTTATCATTCCTAACTGAAAAGGCTTTAACTTGTTGCATATCACTTTTTCCTTCTTGATGTTCTTTTAATATAACAGAAAGAACAAATCTAAAAACACAAGCGAGTAACTAATACCTTAAAAAGTTAACTTACAAAACAGATTCTTTATTTCAGAAGCTGTGGAAGGGAGATAAGCTGCTTTTTAAAATGTGTTATCTGCAAGCTGATGAAGACCAGTCAATCAATATCAGAAATCAGACACCTCAAATCTGAAGCTTTCTGTAATGTGTATTTTTAGGGAGATAATCTAGAAAAAAAAATTAGTACTTACAACAATACTTAAGAAATCAGAAAAATCAGTTGTTCTTCTCTTACAGCACGACCAACCCTATGAAAAATATGAGAAAGACACTAAAAACTCTATTTACATGGGAACCATGACCCACTAAAACATTCTACTTGCACTTATCTACTTGTATCCTGCAGTAACTTGCATGTAAACAGAGTGCAAAATTTTAGTGTTGTATATAATTCACTTAATCAAGTGAAATGAACTTTAGTCTTTGATTTTTAAAAAACCAATTAACTAATGTTTAAGTGATTTGTGCTGTGGCCTATCATCAAAGGAAGCACGTTTATAAAACGAAAACTGCTTCTGTTTTCAACAATCATGTCTGGCTTTTTAGAAGAAAAACATTGTATAATTCCTAAAATTATAACATATTTAAGGAATATTCAAAATAAGTATAGGTATTTTACTTTTGAATCTGTTAAAGATAATAACTATAATTTAGTTTTTAAACAAAATCCATTTTAGTTTCACAATAAGCATTCTATTTTCAGAACAACACAGATTAACACAGTAACCAAAGCACTATTAAGTCTCTGACGGTGAAATGATCTTTTCAGTGAGGAGCATAAAGGCACAGAAACTGTATTACTATTTGTAATTTCTGAACAAACTATCAAGTGGCTTACCAAAAAATGGCTTTAGTAATTATCATCTCTTAATTCCAATGTATTACAGAGAAAAGAGAAACAAAAACACAAAATCTCAAAACTTGGAACTTCAGATTAAGATTTGGGCCTTAATTCAGATTAAGAAGCAACTTTGCACATATCCACCTGGACGTCTCTGATTTTCCAATAGACTGCATAAAAATTTGGCAGTATTTTTTTCCACAATATGCACTTGTAGGTTCCTTTTCTTTAAAGGAAATTTCAAATATCCCGTAATTCAAATTTTCCTTTATTTTCCATTTTAGTTCTCTTTTACTGTGAATTGAGATGTAGATCAATTACTACCTTAAATACAGGGTTTAAATAGCATCGATAATACAGTCAATAGAAAATTTATTCTACAGAGAAAAAGTTCTACTGTTTTAATCATGTGCTGAATTACGTCAGATACTATGATACATACAATGTGTAAAACATGACATAGGTAGGCCGGCTGTTCCCAAATGCCAATCTGGATTCTATGCTAGTCCTCAGTACAATGAGAAAAGGAAAGATAAATTTAAGTTATGTGATATAAGGTTGCTAGCTGTCTTTTTTCAGCAAAACTGCCCTTTTCTATGAATATGGCCCTTCTAATATTAACATAGTCTTTCTTTTGTCAATGCAATGTTTAACTTCTTACTTGGTCAAACAGAACCTAGTATCCCTATATTGATGTATATATACATTTTATCTGACATCTTCTGGGCTGTGAAATCCAATAATCTTGGAAAGTCTAGGACTTTAAGATATGGTTATAAAATAGAGACAATAATAAACACTGCAACTGCAGAAGAGAAGCAGAAATACTTCAAAGTGAAATTAAGACTTGAAATGATTAACAGTGTGGGTGAGGGAAAAAAAGAGCAATGGCACCACAGCACCATAGTTTCCACCACCACAAAGATTTGTAAAACTAAAAATATGTAACGAGGAGTAAGGTCTCAACTTGCCCTACTGAATGCCTGCTCTGTTTTCCTCACTCAGAACTAACCAGACTAATACATCTTTGGTTAGGTCTGGTGGTATAACAGTGAAGCCAAAAGAGTCTAACTACTCTCTGGAAGGTATAACTATTCACCTGAAGGGCACCAACAATATTTAAACATGTTAATACTACTTATGTTCCTGAGAACCAAGGTCATAGTACCTAAAAGCATGGCAGCTCCACTATAGCATTTTCTTTTGAGATATACAAAGGAAACTCTTTATCATATAATCATGAATTTTAAAAAGATGACCAGCAAAAATCTAGTCAAGCAACATTCGACTAATTCTCCAGAACATCAAAGAAGTATAGCTGGAAAATAGGTAACACTTCTTCTAAGGAAAAATACACTCTTAACTTACGTGTTTGTCCTGAGACTGGCATTATGTATTTCTAATAGAACAATCTTTTCCAAACTTCAGAGCTGTTATTAGCAGTGACAGACTGAGATTCAATACAACCACTCTATTTTTCCAAAATATTACAAAAGTGAAGAAAGGGGTGTTGAAAACGAGAATTAAGGCCAGGCATGGTGGCTCACACCTGTAATACCAGCACTTTGGGAGGCTGAGGCAGGTGGATCATCTGAGGTCAGGAGTTCAAGACGAGCCTGGCCAACATGATGAAACCCCATCTCTACTGAAAATATAAAAATTAGCTGGACGTGGTGGTGGATTCCTGTAATCCCAGCTCCTCGGGAGGCTGAGGCAGAATCGCTTGAACCTGGGAGGCGGAGGTCGCAGGGAGCCAAGGCTGCACCACTGCACTCCAACTCAGGTGACGTAGTGAGACTCCATCTCATAAAAAAAAAAAAAAAAAAAAATTAAATTAAAATATAAATAATACAATTTTATTACTGGAAAAGGCCTTCAGATCACCATCTACTGTTTTCTTTGCCTTTAGTGAAGTATACACTTAAAGCACCTCCCCAAAGGTCATTAAGAACAAAGTCACTAGCTGAGAAAAAAAGATTTGGTATTACATCTCTCAATTTACCACACAGATAGGAAGGAAATGAAAATATAGTTCCTACCTTTAAGGCATCATGAAAGACTGGAACACCTGGGTGGTATGTGCAAGCCTCTGGAGAAACAGAGAAGAAAAAAAAGTACCACTCATTATAATGAAGAAAAATGTATACGTGATTATCTCCTTAAGGTGTTCACCTTTAATCCTTTTCCAAACACAGGTATGTTAAAAAGGTACAAATTACTGAGTTTGATGTGCAGCACGAAGTGCAATGTATTAAAAATTCTAATTCAAGAGTATGATGGCTATGGATAAAAATAAAAAATTATTTAACAATTATATTTTATATTCCTCTAATCTTGGTAGTAAAATTTGTTTAGTAACAAAACTTCAAACCCCCAAATTTTGACCTTCATTTTTCAAATCTGCTTTTACAGGTGTACTATCAAACTCTAAGTATTCTTGCATGCATTAATACATAAAGGTTTCACAAGAGGTTCTCTAAAAGATATTTCGTAAGAACAGGCTCATCCTTTTAAATATTGTAAAATTTTTTCAGAGTATCTAATTGCTAATTTAACTTTCCTAGACAGCAGTCAATTCCTAGGTACAAACCTCACTAAAAAGACGTCTAGGCTGGCGCCGGGTGGCTCATGCTTGTAATCCCAGCACTTTGGGAGGCTGAGGTGGGCGGATCACCTGAAGTCAGGAGATAGAGATCAGCCTGGCCTACAAGGTGAAAGCCCATCTCTCCTAAACATACAAAAATTAGTGAGGTGTGGTAGTGAATGCCTGTAGTCCCAGTTATTTGGGAGGCTGAGGCAGGAGAATCGCTTGAACCTGGGAGGCCGAGGCTGCAGTGAGCTGAGATCACGCCACTGCACTCCAGCCTGGGCAACACAGCAAGCGGCTGTCCCCACACTCCAAAAAAGGATTAAAGTTCTACAGTCTATATTCAGGATTCTCACTGGGTGTTTTTCTATACTTCCCTCCCCATTACACAATCAATCTTAATTCTTTTACATAAATGGGTTTATTATAACTTGGAAGATGGAATATTATATTTTTAAAAATCAGGTAACAGCTTCACACCTCTGCATTCTGCTTATAAAACATCTTTCAACCTTTCAAGTCTGTTGAGCTTTCAATGCTCTACAACAACCCTGTCCAACATGCCACCCAGAATGACTCTGCATGTAGCCCAACACAAATTCGTAAACTTCCTTAAAACATCATAAAAAATACATTTTTTTAAGCTCATTAGCTATCACTAGTGTTAGTATACTTCATGTGTGGCCCAATTCTCCTTCCAGCGTGGCCCAGGGAAGCCAAGATTGGACACCCCTGCTCTACCACCTGATTCCTGGTGTTGCCTCAAAATAATTAATTCCTGGTGCTCACAGGTATCTCCCTACCCCGTATTACTAGCCAGGATTGCTTCCTTGGTAACCATGTGCTTCGTGGATACTAGCTAACGTAGAAACAAAGTGTTAGGTAACTTCCTGATACAGTAAGTAAACCCATGGATCAGAAAGATGTTATTAATAAAGGTAGTTGTGGAATTAAGGGCTGAAAAAGGAGATTGGAAGTAGAAATGGATATGCAGAAGGCCATGAAGTTGAGAGGGGAATGGAAATAGAGAATAGATACAGTATTTTCAAATACCAAATTTAAGGTAGTCAGAGACATAAAATGTACAATGTTTAACACAGTCAGAGGCATAAAATGTCACAATACCAGTCAATTTTGGCAGCATGGGAGCAGGAATGAGTCAGATCCAAACCATACAACTAGTATGAACACAATTAGAAAACCAGTGCTTTCAAAAACAAGAATAAGCAGCTGGACATTCTTTATCCTTTACAGTTTTAAGAGTTTTGGTAAAATTATTATTTTATGGGTAACAAGCTACAACACAGTAGTAGTTATTAACTATCCAGAGCTTCTAACATTGAGTCTGACCCTGGCTAAATTTCTCACTGCTGCTTGCTACTAGTTCCTTCAGTTTTCTTCATATATGTGGATTAAATAAAATACTGTTTGTGAAGCTTTGTTTATTCTAGAATAAGTGTTTACATATGCAAGTTGCCAACTGTGTCTCCCTCAAACACTCTTTAACTTGTGTTACAAGTTAAAACGTTCTATCAGCTTAAAAGGGAGTCTAATTTCTGTCTAAAAGGGGAAAAAAATCATGAGACTCTAAGTCAACAAGCATGGTAATTATGCCACAGCACCAAGAAAAAAAGCATTTAGTGTAGATTTCAAAAGATATTTAAGGATGGCAGAGCCAGCATCTGGCTTCATGCAAAATGGAACTTGCTTGTGTATTTACTTCTTTAACTTATTTCTGTCAACTGTACAACGTCAAACCTCTTCCTGTAAAATTTAGTTGTCTCCTACTCGGTATCTCCATTTTCTTCTCCTTACATTCACTTAAGCAACTTGCTTGAAAAATGTATTCTAAGTCTCTAAAAAACCCCTCATTTCGCTTAAGTAAATATACTTTTAGCGATCTTATTGAAGTTTCAGCGATCTTACTGGAATTCCTCTGCTGTAACGGGCACTGCTGACCACCCAATTCTTGAGACTGTTTATTCTTTGTTTTTCCGGGTCATTTTCTCTTTCCTAGGCACTGCACCAAATCACACATGGATACAGACTTCCAACAAATGGCTATCTCCCCTGAATTTTATTGTCCCATACAGCAAAACATCAGCCTTTCCCCTATATTCGATATTAAAGTAGAATTTCTGCAGACAGAAATGATCAATTATTTTTTACGTAGGCTACCAAAATCAAAGGGCTTTCAAATCATTATCAAGTTTGCCATCTACCGAAATCTCACAATTTTCCTCTTGAGTAGCATCATATCTGCATCATAAAAATGTCAGTGTCCATAACTTGAGTATTGCATAGGTTGGATTTACCTTTTCCTTAAAACCCTGTATCAATGGTCTTATTTTTAATAACGCCATCAATTAACCTGTGGGCCAAACCTAAGTATTTCAAACATCTCAGAGGTGAAGAGTTTAGAAGGCATCAGTTTTCATCTCCCCCACAATGATGAAGGATGTTATTAATACTACCTCACTGAACTGAGCTTCTCAATCAAATAGATCTAATTAGTACCGCATGCTTCCCACGGTTGTTATGAAGATTAAGTATGATAAAGCGATAATGTCTAGCATGCAGAAGACATAAACTAAATGCTAGTTCAATCTGAAAACGTGCTGTCACTTCTCACAATACGCAAGGAATCATCTCACTTCTTCGTCAATCAAAATCTCAATTCATTGATCATTTCCCGTCCTTCACCTAGTAGTCACTTTCGCTTTGGTTCCTTAACTCGATATTTAGATGCTGTAGAGGACATTCGATCATTTTATACCGGAGTCAGCAATGATATTAAAACGTGCAGACCACCACAAGAATACCCGACAAAGGCCGCCAGTGAGACAAAGCTAACTAACGTATCACCAGGATGCACCTATCAAAAAGTGTAACGATACAGAGTAATGTCCCTTACCTAGAACACTTGCAAGAGGTTTGTAACAGCGGATCGACAGAACGCAAACTTCTACGAGGCAGGGCTTACACCCTAGGACAAGTCCCGGACCCCCCCCCCACCCCACGCAGGCAATCACAGCCAACACTACTTGCGGAACTGCAAAGCAAGCTCACCAGTACCTCATTAACGTCTGCTTCCCAACAGACTAGGGGGCCCGAGGAGAAAGGTGTTTGTTCTAAATTCCAGGCGACTTAAAACGAGCGCGGGGACGACCGGGGAAGCACGTGGATCCAGGCAGGGGAGCGTCCCTCTCCGCAGAGGCAGAGGGCAGTCGGGCGCCGGGGCCCGGCCGCAGCCAAGGGAGCGCGGCGCACCAGGCGGGGGGCCGGCGGGCTGTGCGCGCAGCCCAGGGAGGCCCAGGAGGGGCCTGGACCCGGCGCCGCGCGAGGACGGAGGCAGGAGGTCCCCGGACACCCTGCGGCCCAATGGGCCTCCCCCGCCGAGGAGGTGGAGAGGGGAGGGAGGGCTGGCGGCGCGCCCCTCTTACCATCGGAATTGGTCTCAGGGTCAAAGCGCTGACCGCAGCCCCGGTTGTAGCACAGCAAGGACATTTTCCGTTCCCTCCTTCACACGCAAGGCCCAAACACCGGGAACGGCAAGAGGATGCCTTGGCCACTCCCGTGTCGCTAGCACCTGTCTGACGACCGCCGCGACTGCCGGCTTCCGGAAACGATCAGTGGCGTTTCAGGAACCTTCGCGAATTTTCCGGTCGCGCAGGCGCAGCGGAGAAGGAAAGCGCCGGAGGAAGCGGTAGGAGGCCGGCGCTAGCCCCGGCCACGATAGGTCGGCCTGCTGCAGCTGGTCGCACCTGGGGGTCGGAGGTGGCGCCCAGACAATAGCGGAAGGGAAATGTACTGGGCAGAAACCGAAGGCGTCCAAGAGACTGACAGCTGCCTCCTGACTTCCCCAGTCCTCACTGGCAATGGGCGTGTCCTCTCATCCCCTGCGACACGGCATCCTTATTCCTTGCCTTGAGGCTGCGTCTTAGACAGCCCGGTGGGTATCTTCTGACCCCTTAGCTGTGCACAATAAGTGTGCAATCGTACGGTGTTTCCAAATCCTCAGGATAGGGGTGTGAGCTTAGTAAATGAGGAGAGGAACAGTGGACGAACCTCTCCGCGTGTCTGTGTCTCTAGTGCCCTCCTCTCGGGAGCAATTTTAATAACTGAACAGTTGCGTTCACATTACTTTGAAAATACAAAACACGTAAAAATCTGAAGAACAAAATTATGGATCTGATACTGTGCCAGTAGTGATCACAATTGCTCTAAGGCCCTGGGGAAATCGTTAATATTTCATGTGCGCTCCCACTTAAACGATTTCTCAATACTCAGTACTCTGCTCTTGGAACAGCTAGCAAAACTTCAAGTGCATTATAAAAATTACAGTAATGCATTGGCTCCAACTTACATATTTCCCAAATGTGGGGCGTTTGAAAGAAAAGCAAACACTTTTTGATAACATACACTGAAGGATCTTAAAATAAGCAGCTTGTAAGTAAACCTAAAAATCTATACACAGTTTCCATTGGTCTCAAGGTTATTTAGAGATCTGGCTCACATCCTCCTACCCCTGAAAAAAAGACTTTTCAGTTTTTCATATTACGTTCTCTTCTTCTACCTAGAATTATTAAATTATTATATTGTAATCCTAACATAGATACATGTTTTCTTCTTCGTTTAACTTAACATGAATATTTTTCTATTTTGTTTCGTAATCATTATTACAAATGACGGAGTATTCTCTTGAATGCATCCACTGTAATGTAACCTTTCTCGAATTTCCCCAACTTTATTATATGTAATTTACAACGATCAACTTGTATATTATTTTCCTTATTTCAAATTTCCCCCTTTAGAAAAATTTGAGGAAAGCAACAGTTCTGGGGTAAAGGTCATCAGCCTTTTTTTTAACTTTTAAGATTTTAGAGCTATATAGAGCCAATTGCTTTCCAAAAGGTGGTACCAATTTACAATTTGGTAATTAAGTAATAGACCATAAAAAATTTTCACACACAATTGGAAATGAAGAAGTGGAGAGCTCTAAAAAGTTTTAGTTGTGACCAAATCTGTTGTGTTGAGCATCCTAGTATCAATGCAACATTACCAGGATTGTTAGTGAACTAAATCTTTTAAATAATTTTAATGTTTGTTTCTAGTTTTTCATCTGTACCATTTACAATCAGAATATGGTAGATAATTTGGAAAATGCAGAAGTGTATTAATAACAAAGTCAACAATAATTCTACCACCCAGCAATAAGCACTGAATGGCTAAAATAGCTCTTTGGTAAATTTATTTTCAGTATTTCCTGTCACCCAGAGCATATGTTTATATTTGTTAAAAAACAGAGTCACGTTATATATAGGAATTTATGTTCCTCCCTTGGGTATTTTGAGAAACTGTAAAAATAAATCATTCTTATGAATCAGAAAAACAGTGATGCACAAAGAGCCTGTTTCAATCCCAACTCCACTTGCATTTCCATTCCAGCACTTCGGTGCTACCACCCACTGTTTGAAAAACTGTCTGGCATTTACATGTATATTTTATATAGACCCTGAATGTATCTTCCCTTCCTTCTTTACTCCCATACATATCAAAATATGCTTTAACTTTGACTGTCTTATTTGTTGTTAACAAAAGACTTAAGTATGTTAACATAAAACAATTGTCAATTATTTTTGGTACAAAATGAATGTTTATCATAGCACTCTCTTTTTCTGCATTTAAAAATATTTCTTAAAAGGCCGGGCGCGGTGGCTCAAGCCTGTAATCCCAGCACTGTGGGAGGCCGAGGCGGGTGGATCACGAGGTCGAGAGGTCGAGACCATCCTGGTCAACATGGTGAAACCCCGTCTCTACTAAAACTACAAAAAATTAGCTGGGCATGGTGGCGCGTGCCTGTAATCCCAGCTACTCAGGAGGCTGAGGCAGGAGAATTGCCTGAACCCGGGAGGCGGAGGTTGCGGTGAGCCAAGATCGTGCCATTGCACTCCAGCCTGGGTAACAAGAGCAAAACTCTGTCTCAAAAAAAAAAAAAAAAAAAAAAAAAAAAAATTTCTTAAAATAAAAACATTCAAATAAGTTTAATTAAGCTCCATTATTTTGGGCCAGGCATGATAGCTTGTGCTTGTAATCCCAGTACTTTGAGAGGCCAAAGCAGGTGGATCACTTGAGGTCAGGATTTTGAGACCAGCCTGACCAACATGGCAAAACCCTGTCTCTACTAAAAATACAAAAAAATTAGCCGGGTATGGTGGTGCATGCCTGTAACCCCAGCTACTCAGGAGGCTGAGGCAAAAGAATCACTTGAACCCAGGAGGAGGAGGTTGCAATGAGCTGAGATCATGCCATTGCACTCCATCCTGGGTAACGAGTGAAATTGTATCTCAAATACATAAATAATAATAATAATTAAGTTCCATTACCTTAAAAAAGATTATAGATATGGTATATATGTATCTATGTAAGTGTATAAAATAAAATAATATTTAAAAGGACAATCCATTAATCTTTTATAATAATGGCGATGTATAAAGACAAAGATGAGTTTAAAAGAGTAAAGTTAATATTTTACTTTATATTCTTACATATTTTTTAAAAATGTGGTAAATACATATTCATTTTTGATATATCTAACATCATGAAGAGGACAAAAAAACCAGCTTTTCAATGGCTGTTTTTATTTGGTCTACTTTATCCTTAGAAAGATATGTTAATTTCATCCATTATGATTGTGTTTTGAGCCGTTTGTGATTTATGTATTTTGAATGTATATTATTCATCCTATAAAGATGCATGTCTTATATTTACATAGTTTACACTTTTAATATAAAAAGAATTTCTTTGTATCATTTTGTATTTTAGTTTTGAAATCTACCTTGATATTAATGCTTAAACTTTTGCCATGTTTCTCTTTGTTTCTGCCTAGTAAACCTCACCCCATCCATTCATCTTTAACCCGTGTCATCTTGTTTGGGCATTTCTATACCAAACAGCAGATAGATAGATTGCATCTTGTTTTTCTTTTATTAACTCAAATCTGAGAAATCTCTTTATTTTGCAGAGATGCTTAACTTTTTTATTTCTGATTAATGCTTCAAAGTTCAGTTGCCAAAGGGGCCCATAAGCCTGAGTTTTCTTATCTGTAAAACATTGATAACAGAGTGCTGTGAAGATTAAACAATATACGTAAAACATATAGTATAGTGTAAGCACTGAATAATAATTCCACAAAAGTTTAGCAATGAAAATTGTCAACAACATAGAGCTCAGATGTTTAGCCCTATTTTGTTATTTCACTTTGTTTTCCTTTTGTGTGTGCAGTTGCGTGTCTTCTTCCTTGTTTTTATTTTATTCTGTTTTCTAAAGTGTATGCTTGTTTTTTTATTTTGTCCATGATTTTCAAAAAATATATGTTGGTTTTAATTCATTTAAGCATGTATTAAGTAGTTAATGTGTGTTGATGCTACATTAGATGCAGGATAGAGCAGTGAACCAAAGTGACATTTTACCTGTCTTCATTGTATGTGAATTTTATAAGAAAGACTGATGGGAATAAAATGTTCCCAATTATGAATGCAATCTCTGATAATTGCCATAATTGCTATGAATGGAAAGTACATTAGGCTAAGTTAGTGGAAATGGGAATTTGCCTAATCTTGAGTTGGGGTACAGGCATAGGTGATAGTCTAGACAGAAATCCTGCAATAGAAGGTAATGTATCATTAAAGAAACCACCAAGTCATTGAGGTAAACCAGTGCTCAGAATGCCAGATGTATTAGGACATTCTTGCATTGCTATAAAGAAATACCTGAGACTGGTATTTCTCAGACTGGTATTTATAAGAAAAGAGGTTTAATTGGCTCACATTTCTGCAGGCTGTACAGGAAGGGCTCAGGAAGCTTTAACTCATGGCAGAAGGCAAAGTGGTAGCTTGTACTTCACGTGTTACAAGCAGGAGCAAGTGGTAGGGGAAGTGCCCACACCTTTAAATGACCAGATTTCATGTGAACTCAACTGGAGAGCTCACTTATCACCTAGGGAATGGCCCATGCTGTTCATGAGCGATCTGCCCCCATGACCCAAATACCTCCCACCAGGCCTCATCTCCATGATTAGAGATTACATTTTAACATGAGATTTGGGCAGGAACAAATATCCAAACTATATAATTCTGTTCCTGGCCCCTCCCAAATCTCATGTTCTTCTTACATTGTGAAATACAATTACACCTTCTCAACAGTCCCCCAAAATTTTGACTTTTCCAGATTTAGCTCCAAAGTCCAGAGTTTCATCTGAGACAATACAAATCCCTTCCATTTATGAGCCTGTAAAATAAACAACAAGTTAGTTACTTCCAAGATACAATGGGTGTATAGGCATTGGGTAAACATTCCCATTCCAAAAGGGAGAAATTGGCCAAAACAAAGGGGCTATAGGCTCCATGCAAGTTAAAACCCAAGTGGGCAGTCATTAAATTTAAAGCTCCAAAATAATCCCCTTTGATTCCATGTTCCACATCCTGGGCACACTGGTACAGGGGAAGGCCTCTCAAGGCCTTGGGCAGCTCTGCCTCTATACTTTGCAGAGCGCACCTCCCACAACTCTCATGGGCTGGTGTTGAGTGCCTGTGGATTTTCCAGGTACAGAGTACAGGCTGCTGGTAGAACTACCATTCTCAAGTTTGGAGGATGGTGGCCTTCTTCTCACAGTTCCACTTGACAGTGCCCTACTGGGGACTTAGTGTAGGGGCTCGAGCCCCATGTTTCCTCTTCACATTGCCCTAGTAGAAGTTGTCTGTGAGGGCTCTGTTCCTGCAGCAGGCATCTGCCTGGACATCCAGGCTTTTTCATGCATTCTCTGAAACCTACTCAGAGGCTTTTAGGCCTCAACTCTTGCACTCTGTATACCCACAGACTTAACAT